CTGAACGAGAATATTCAATTAATGACTGCCACTATTACCTTATACTATGGTACATTAATTTCAATCTTGTGTCAAAGACTAATTGTAAAAAGCAGAGTTAATTTAATGATTTTATGTCACTTTCGACCAAATCGCTAGACTTTTTGTTCCTGTTGACATTTAAGAAGGTTGCATTGGGCGTAACTTGTCTTATCATGTAGGTATCATTACATGAAAATGTCGAGACTTTAATCTCATTTTAAAGATGTACATGTTTGTCTAATTTAAGTCCTTATCAATATAATACTCCTCAAAAATTTGCACATACTAGTATTTGAAGGATATACACAAAATGTCCATGTATATTTTTCTTATTTGTCTGCACTATTAGACTTAATGTAAGATCTCGCCAAAAAAATCAAAAAACCCCAAAAAACTGGCACGATATTAAATCATACACAGACTATGCATTATCATTAAATAACCCTAGATTCAGTGATTATACAGATTATATATATCTCCAGGAATTGAATATTTAAGATACCACTTATAATATGGGTCAACTTTACTTTTGCTGTTGTTAATTTCCTGTTTATGTGTATACTAATGTCTAAATTACCAGCTTCCTAGTTGTTCAGCTCTAATCCTTAACACCAGGGCGTATACGTGTACATGCTAGGGGACTTTATAGTTATGTGTTATAAAAATGAAATGGGGTTTAACGTCCTACTGTTCTGCTCCGACTGGGCTAAAGAAGACAGGCATACGCCATACAGTGTGCTATGAGAGAAATTTTGCCCGGGCAGCTGCACTATGGTCTACTTTTATATCGAATTTCAACTGTCAGGGGACGTTTTACGCGCATACCCATGTATACACGGGGCCTCGGTCTTTCGTCCCCTCCAAACGACTAGACAGCTGTCCTTGCCAGGCCCGATGAACTTTCTTGGCCAATGCAGGGATCGAACACCCGACCTCCAGGCTAGCGAGCCAGCGTCTTACCAACTTAGCCACCGTGGCTCCCGTTATGTGTAATCTATGAAGCAACATTCAAAAAGATTTCAAGGCCATCCTTTGGAAATCTATATCATCAATCCTATTTACCCAATTGATTATAGTAGTCGTGTCAGGCACGGAGCGGAGTATGCTTGCTCTCTTCGTAACATGTGAGAATGCCACTTACCTTGGTACACGTTCTATTGCGCTAGGGGGGGTGGATGGCTGAATGGTTAGCGTGCGCGCGCTGTATCATAAAGTCTGTCATTGAGTCGACTGGCGTGGTTTCGAATTCCCGTTGTACGTGGCAAGGAGTAGGGTCGCCTGTCCAACCTCGTGGGTTTTCTCAGGGTCCTCCGGTTTCCTCCCACTGCTCAAGACCCCTACGCGCAAGCGAATTATCTAAATAAAATTAAACCATATGTTAGTCCCGAAATGACCTAGTTTGTGTCGAGTGGACCTTAAACCCCATTTCTCTCTCTCTCTCTCTCTCTCTCTCTCTCTCTCTCTATTGCGCTAACTAGTACATGTATTTATATATTTTGAGATTGTCTACCCTTTTTAGATAAATTTATTCCCTCGCGTTTAAAACACTAATACGTACGCACATCGATGGCCAAATGATGATTTCCTGCATCAAGACAATCGCTTGGTGGAATTTTATGATCGTATGCGAGGTAGGGTGAGCTTACACCTTTGATACAACTTGCCGTCGTTACTCGATTTTGCCGAATTCATCTCGTTCATCTGGCCACTGGTTTGGATCGATTGTGCTTGATTTTATCAGAGAATGTTTGTTTTGAGTGTTGCGCCTATGAATTTTAAATCTTCTTGTGCATATGATTGAGTTACCAGCGTAATAAGTGTTTACATATTATACTTATCATAAAATTGTTAAACGCTTTGTTCTAGCCTTAGGTACTCATACTACCAAATAAATGGCCAAGTTGTTCATAAACTATATACTCAGAAGAATGGTTCCAGATTTTGCTTACCAATACAGGACACCCAAATTTACATGCATATGACAATGAAAAGTTTTATTTCAGATTTTGTACAGATTGGTGGCATTTTACAACATCATGTTAGAAATGGTTTTGTATTTCTTAGTATAGATATCTCTATTGCCATTCGGTTGTTTATTTTTTTATATTCTGACAAGTTTGGATGCATATGGAAAATTTTTAGGGGCGGAAGGATCAGCAAGTAAATAGACATGAATTAGGTGATCGCCTACTAGAATGACGTCACTGCCTATAATATAGATTCCTTTGACCAGGCCTAGCAAACAACGGTCAACCTCCTTCAATATTTTGTTCAGACGATTGCGACATTTTGAACTCTTTGTGGTTATAAAGATTAAGATCATCGGAATGTTCAAAAAAATGTTGTAGGCCAAGAAATGTCGTGGATTTAACATTGAAATCAATAGGAGAGAATTACCAGTTTGAGACCTAATTTAAGAGAGTTTATTGTTAACTTATTCTAAGTTCTTGCCAATCCCTACATACACTTTGCGTACTCCATCCACATGTCGTTCTAATATCGTACAGCCAGGTATTTATATTTAAAAGAGCTAAATCGCTAATATTTGGAACCTAGAAATTGACAAAAATGGGTCGCAACGCATATAATAATGTAATATGAATGTATATAAACTGATTTACATTCAATCGCTTCTGTTTTTAATGTAATTTCTAATCAGTTATTTTCAGAAGTCTCATGTGAATAGCAATCTTTAGCGTCTGGTTTTTCCAGTCTACACCGATGGTATTTATTGTGCATGCTCTCCAGATAAGAATATAGCGTCACCATTTGACATGACCTGTGGAATATGTCTAGCCCTGTTCTTTGAGTCCCTTGGTCCAAATGGCGCTGAAACGCATTATGGTACACGATTCGTGTACCAATGGTAAAATGTTTATTTTGTCTTGAATATTGGATATCAGAAGCCCATCTTTTCCCTGTAAGATCACAAGACCAATGTTTATTTGAATTGACAAATAATTCGTGTTTTCAATGTCGAAGATTTTTGATGATATTGAGTTAGAGACTTAGCTACTTTAAATTAAAAAAACCCCACCCCATCTATGTTTTTAATTTTAAAATAATAGAGCAATACGAATGAACACGACATTAAATACTAAATAATGACTATCCTATGGTATTATATTATTATTAGCGTCAATAACGGGTCCTTCTAATCGACGACAAGAACCGACAAAAACGGGGTGGGTTAATATCACCCAAAGTATTGCGAAATGGGATAGACAATAAAACACAAATACGGTCTTACTATAAATCACCGGCAAGAGCTGGGGGGGGGGGGGGGTTGTTGTCAATTCACTTATCCATAATCTTGTCATTTCTTATGAATTCATATAAATTTTGGATAATATGATGTGTAGCATATACACATATTATATAACATATCTTTATTTGTCGTCACTTTTTGTCACTAAAAGGGGTACCGGATTGAGTCGAAGCGCCTTACTGGCGAAGACCAATTATTATGATTTTCCAGATTCCAAAACAAAGTAGGACATTGAAATCTCTAAATTCAGATCACTTGATTCAGATAAGTCTTTGCAATATAATCAAAACTTATTATCGGTACGAGAACATGCGAAGCAAATGAAACAAATATATATCGTGTATTATAATTTCTAAATCAGAAACATACATTTATATCACAGCATGTCAAAATGTCACTGCCAAACTGACCGACCGTGATTTAAAACTGTATCATCTGTAAAATAACCGTTATTTTGTAATATCTTGATGCCAACAATTGCCATGACGTAATCAATGACAGGTGCATGCGATATTGACTCTGAATTATTACATTATTATTCTAAAAGGTAACAAATTTCACGCCTTAGTAATGGATATTCTTTCCTATGTAATTAATAACAATAGTGATAGTCGAGACTTAATTCATTTTTCTTAATTTGTTGAGCTCTGATTTCAACGAAGTTAATTACACAATAGAACACAATAGAACGCCTACCGCAGAGTATCAACGCAAAACCAATGACGTAAAGACAAGAGATGCTGGGAACCATGATTCTTACTTTTAATCTTGTTATGTCTGAAATTTTGTCATTTTGTTTTCTTATCTCTAAAATCTTCAAAAGAAGTTTTTGGTTATCTTAATGTAGCTGCCAGTGTCTTTTTTTTCATAGAATTTTTTTTTAATAATTATATTATGGTCAAAAGTCTGTTTGAAGATCCATTGTACTCCATTTTATTTAATGTACATTTTTCAAATGAAAGTAGATGCCTTTGAACATCGTTTAAGATAAAAGTGAGAAGCCATACTAATATAGAATGATCTTTTCCTTTCAGCTTTCTGGGTTTTGTTTTATCCGTTTGTAAAAAATAGTAAGATGTCAAATTCATAGGACAAGACGCACGTGTGTGCATTTCAATGTAGGCCTACTGCGATTTGTTATCGACGAAATATATTATATTTTCAATACAATTTACAAAAACATTGAATTTTTTATTCTTTTATACTTTAAATGTAATCTTAGCGTGTTTTGTAGGGTTTTGTTTTTGTTTTTAGCAAGTTTTGGGCTTTACAATTAATACCAAACAATATACAAACATTGTTTTATATTTATCTTTCTTCACAAATAAATACCTTGGATCCTTCGTGTAAAAGCACGGTTATTTCTGCCAAGAAGAAAACTACACAATGGATAGGCCCCTAGATGTCGTGTTAAAACAGTCCATATTATCCATTAATGCATAGTTTTGATTTGGTCATGCTTCGCTTTACGCTTGTCAGTTTCATGCGATGTAAACAAATGTGCACGTGTGCGTTTTTCTGTCACTATAGCGACGCTGTCAGTAAAAGCCGCCATTACAATGACTAGCGCCAGTGTCCCCGCCCATTGGCCGACGACAAGCGTGTAATTGAAGCGTTGATTGGCTGTCGTGATTGGTTTTTGATTAAACATGACTTTAGTATAAATATCTCTCTTGATCAATCAATGAGTAGTTTCCTTAACCCATAGCAAACCAATGCGGAACCGAATTTAAAATCAGAACTTGAAAGTTTCCTTCCAATTTCCAGGAAAGTTGCCTTGTAACCGGTTATAAGGAGAGCGAGCAGTTCCGAGGGGAAATTAAAGTGTGGCTTTTTCGGAAGCGAGGTTGTAGGACAATTATTAGATACATAAGCACTTATTGGAAGAGAGAAGCCTTAACAAGTTTATTTCTTATAGTACCGGCGTCGAACAGGATGCAGAGTTTGAAACAACAAGACTACTACCGGGCGTGTACATTCACTGGTATACCCGGCCATATGATGTTTCCCGGTACGTTTCCGTTTTCCGAGGAATTTACATTCCTTTTTTTACAGCTCTTACCGGAGTTTCCAAGGATACACAATAATGCCATTTTAACAAGAGTAGAACATTGCTTCGGTGCTAATTTTTAAGTAACGTCTCTTTCTTTGACATTTTCTTAAGGATGTAATTTTAAATTGTTTTCCGCCTTGAAGAATAACGGACATGTTTTTTATCACTATACTTGTAATGCTATTATTACAGTTACGTGGACTAGAATTATTTTTGTAATCAATGACTTCAACGGCAGACAAATAGAATTGGGATTCTAACATATTTATTTTTGACAATCATTATTTAATATCTGTTGGTTTCTTTTTTCTTTGTAATTGTCAAAGTTTGGAAATTTGTCAGCTAATATACTAATGCTACAGTACAATATACGTAAAGTTTAAAGTTTATATAAGTCATACAGTTACATTTTACGTTACCTACAATGTGTGTCTTTACTTCTAAATAATTCCTGAAAGTAATATATTTCTACTTTCTGTTACAGATCCAACCTATGGTAAAACAGCATGGACTCCTCAATCAACACCTCCAAATCAAGGTAAGAAAAATTATTTCCCTCCTTTATTTTGATTCGATAAATGAATTTGTTCTTTTATATTAAGTTCGGCAAAATCAAATAGATGAATAATGTGTATTGTAATACGTCGACCAAATGAAAATAATCGCCTTTAAACAACATACATATTTAACCATTAATGTAATGCCTCATCTATTATCTAAATATATCTATATAATATATTAAAAATTATATTAAATATAAAGATTTGAGATAAATGACATCACGTTCTTGTGTGTCTAATCTCGGTGATAACACACGTTCGCTATTTTAAATTCTCAGATAACATTGTAATAATTTTCCGTAACATTAAATTCACCAAGCTTTTCAGTATAAAGATATTTTTCTTATTGTTTTAAATCTATATCTGAAAGAAGTGTTTAACACTTTGTTATTACGATAGTAAATATTATCGTCCATTTTCAAATGAAAATACTCAACTAAAAATAATATAAGGGGTAAGTTTATAAAATATATTATTTATTTTAATGCATACATTTAGATTCAAAATAAAGGAATATACATGTACATGACATATGTTTATTCGATTAGCTGTTTTATATAATTTTTAGAATTTTAGCAATTGTGGTTTATAAGTTAATAAATTAAATAATGTTAAGATATTTATTATAAAAGTTACCTGTAAAATCGTTTTAAGATTGGTTTAGTTGGAATGAGTTCATTCTTTTCATACGCAATGAGATCTATGTTCTTATTTTTTTATTATAATAAAAAGGTTTGAGATTAATATCATCCATTTATGTCATTTAGTTCACTTGTTGTAAGGTCTATATTTCACACTGTGTTTATAGAATATAATGAATTTCATATTTCTGTCCTAATGCAGCCCTATTAATCATTACCGCCACGTGACATATGTATCATGGTATCAAATGGGTCTTAAAGGCATCGTTTTAGATTTTAGAAGTGTCAAAACGTCGTAAATTTCTACCCAAATACTGTCATTATAAGTGTTCGCTCACGTGTGTGGCACGCGCATTTAGTCGAGGGTGGAATTAATAAGGGCAATAGACTCTTCTATTTACACCCCTATAAAAGATATTTCTTTATGGAATTTCATTCAAGTGGAACGGACAAATCGGAGTAGCGTTTTCACCTAGTATTTATTTGACTGTCAAACCCATCACCGTGCATTTTACTGAATGCCTTAGTCGTCTTCAATGCACATATAATTCACCGCGACCTTTCTGTAAAATGACCCCTAATTTTTTGCCCGGGGCTTTTGTCGTGTCAATATAGCAAGGGGTCACTTAATGTTTACCGATTCCAGACTTTATTAATCGACCCGTGTTGTTATTTTTGTGGATTAAGGGATATCATTATTAAGTTAACAGTTTATGGTTTAAGTTGTGAACCAGATATTAAATGTCAATAAAGAATTGACTGTGATGTATTTGTAGAATTTTAGCGAACCTGTAACAAATATAAATAATTATTATACATTTTATCTTCTTTGTTCTTTAATTTTGGTATATAAAGTTAAGTATATAACTAATTATAATTCTTACAAATTTGGAATTTTTTTTTACATTTCCTTTTGTTAATAGTCTTTACTTGGAAAGTTAGGTTACCAATGGTATCGTTTAAAGGAATCAGTATCGCTATACGTAGTATACAGCTTTTAATGCCTTTTGACGTTCTCATTAAAAGTTGTCGACAATGTGAAATTATGTTACAATTTCTAGCATTCTAACGTTTTTCAGAACCCGTACTATTAACGCATCACATTATTTTAAAATTCATACAAAATATACCATCAATTATATAAATTGCTTATTTTATTTTATATTGGTTTACTTTATAAATTCCATTACTTTCAATATTTTAAAAATTAATTTGAAATCATGTCGTCAGTTTATACTTGAAGATTAGAATTTTAACGATGGCACTGATATTCCTGTTATTTCTGTCACTTTTATGCCATGTATTTCTGTTACAGCTTACCACCCAAATCCATTACAAGGTATAGGCAAATCACCTTTAGATTCTTCAAATACTCCATGGAGACCTCAAGGTACGTACATTTTTCATGTGTGGCTGATTGGAATGAGTTTTGGTGATTATAGATTGAATCAATTAATAACACAACATAACAGAAAATAGATAATGTTACAGCTTATGGAATATAAATTTAAATCATTAAAGGTGTTAAAAATCTTTGATTTGGATCCAAATAAAAAATTAAGATTAATTATAAAATTAACAAATGTTATTTCGCAAGATTCAGCAATGGTCGATACGTTTACAAATTTTGAATTTCATTTTGTCTTTAATTGTCGACTGTCGAAAGCAAAGTCTTCATCGCGGACTTAATCGCATACTTAAGATGTTAACGAAAACACATTTTCAACTCAAAATTCAATCAAATCATCACTTTAAATTTTTAAACAAATCAAACAGGTCACTTTTTTAAAAACTATTAACAATACAAAAATTAAAATGATAAATTATACAATTATCTTATGTTTTTGTTATATATATATATATATATATAGATATATATAATAAAAACATATATAGATATATATATTATACTGTTTGGTTCTTTGTTTTATGTTTTGAGACTATAAATATCAAAAAATATGATCTAAAAAATGAGTAAGTAAAATTAACCACTATATTAAATAAGTCCGAGATATAAAGTGAATAAATGCCATTTTTTAAAATAAATTATGAAAATCAATATTTAAGATTAGGAAAATTGATAAATTAGAAAAGAAAAGAAATAGCCGTCAAACACAAGAAATTAAAAGTTGAAAACTATTGTCAATTCAGTTAATGTTGAACGCATTTTTTTTTTATTAATTGTTCATTGATTAGATTTTTATCGGTGATAAACCTTCAACTAAATCAGATGATAAAGAGATTCCAAGCTTTGTAGTATTGTTCCTAGATTTTATCGATAAATACCCTAAACAATGGAACAAAGAGGGAATTAAGGCCGAATCTCTCCAATATCGCTTCATAAACTGGCATTATTAAGTATCGTGATTATTATTTACATCTTGATTAAGTGTAGGAATTATTGTTTGGACTTTGTTTAAATATTGAACATAAACTATCACACCTTTTGTTGGGTGAATAAATCAATTATTCACCCATTTATTAACGGATTAATGATCTATTAATATATATTTACTATACTATTTAAGAGAATTTGTATTCAAAGTAAAATTTAGAAAATGAAACGTGAAAGATTCATTCTTATCAGTAATATGTAAATTAGTACAAATCTCATTTAACCAATTTGTGAAACCGACCATTAATTACAGTAGTCTTATGGTATTTTCGCAGTTAAGAATTTGATTTTTGAAGTTTTAAAACAAACCTATCGCAAATGCATTACGTCCAGGATTTGCAATCATAACGTGTTAGAAAAAAAACCCCACTTCCCAAAGATATTCTATATATATTGAATACAAATTGGCTTAATACTATAGTAAATATATATTAATAGATCATTAATCCGTTAATAAATGGGTGAATAATAGATTTATTCACCCAACAAAATGAAATGAAAATGAAATGAAATGGGGTTTAACGTCCTACTGTATTCACCCAACAAAAAGTGTGATAGTTTATATTCAATATTTAACCAAAGTGTAAACAATATTGAATGTCTTTGGAAAGTGGTGTTTCTAAGACATTACGATTGCAATTTCTGGACGTAATGCCTTCGCGATAGTTTTGTTATATTTTATACTGAAATTGATAGGTACAATAAAGTATCTGGAATTCTATGGCGAATGTCATCAGTGATTCTCAATCTGTTTGTGGTGTTGAACCCACTTTAAACCTATCTATTTCAATATCATGAGTATCTATGGTGTATTCAGTATCATGAGTATCTATGATGAAGTTTAAAATATATTTTAAGAATCTGCAGGCTGTATAATTAATTTCAGTCAAATGTTAGTTATTAATACAGCTGTATATCCAAATACATGTACTGATTAATGGAATGTCCATTAAAATATCACATTATCTATTTTTGAACAAACATATTGTGACTATAGATAGCTTTCCATTATTGACTGAAGATGATCCAATAGTCAATGGATGCTATTCAATGCTAAATCCTTACGGCTATAGTATTTTGTTCTTAATTTTAAAAAAGAAGTTGACATCTGATTTTTACAGGGTATTATGCAACCTTTAAAATATATCTCTGGGCTGTTCATTTTATATTCTGCATGAGATTTAACTCTTGATGTCTGAAACTCCAATGTCGAGGATAGCAAATTTGTCTGCCTACAGAGAAGGGCAAAGAAACGAAATGTAGATCTATTCAATACTAATTGATACCATCCACAATTTGGCTAATTTGATCCAAAACGTTTGCTCATCGCATAAATAATTAATCATTATCTAGGGCCTGCGTCGTTGGTAGGGTAACACTATAACAGGACACAAAACTCTCCTCGTACATAAGTATTCGCTGCCAGCATATAAGAAAAGGACAAATTAATGTGATTTTTCGGTATTTTTTACATAAACTTGGTACATGTTTGATTATGTTTAACCATGACCCATTTAATTATAATTGAATGAATGAATGAAATGGGGTTTAACGTCCTACTTTTTAAATTATAAAACTGACAATGTAATCTGCAGTAGACCCAGACTGAACATCCGATTCCTGAGATAATAAGCCGTGTTTATTTATATATTACAATAAAAATAAAGGACTTTTGTTGGATAGAGTTATTAGATAGTCGATAATATTATATTGAATTAACCCTAGGATATCCTTTGAAAAAGCCGCTTGAATAATAGTGTTAAAATAATGTTCGTGGCTAATCATACCTTTTATTTTCCCATCCTCGGCTACTACTTCTGATTGAATGGCTTCCCAAAATACCCCAGAAGATGATCTTAATAATATTTTTATAACAGTTTAATAATTACGTTAATAAAACAACCTTAAAATATAATATTATTTTACAATTATTTATATAAAGCTTGACGTCTATAGCCGATTTAGGCCTTTACATGATTGTCATGAAATAAACAACACGAGGTTATGTAGGTAAAACAATAACATTGTATAATGTTTAATTCCTTAATGAATTTCTTTTTAATAAATATGAAAAGGGGTTTTAAAACAAAGACTTCACCGGTTTAATTTAGTATGTAATATATAAAATATAATTGACGTACTATGATAGTCTGTAGATAATTACAAAGTAGTGAATGTATAATTACATACATTACTTATAAGTTGGAGGACTGGTATCAGTATAGTTATTGGGTATAATTTCGGAAAGTAACTGTAATAAGGAATTTAAAACGAATAAAGTATTACACATATAGCTCGAAACCTGAACTAATTTGTTACTATGAATGAACTATTCTATACTTGGCACATAACATTTGTATTTTAAACAATGTCAAGTAATATTAACATTTACCAATTCGATTCTTGTTATCTTTTGTTTGATATAGCCGTTTTTTTATATTTTACCGGATACTTATATAGTATCGAAAACCAAAGCGCAAAAAATAAATAAATAAAGATATTGGATTGCTTATTTTGTAATCACTTATGTATATAACTCAAGGTTCTAAAAATCTTTGCAAAATTAAATAAACAAATAAATTAATTACAAACAAATCCGAGAACATATAGGATTTACGTAAAAGCAGTGGTTAATTATCAGGCTACCCATTGCGCATTGCGCAAAACGAGTCAATATTTAAAACAAAGACTATTGATTTGGGTAAAGTATAAGTACCTATTTCCATTAGCTTTTGTTCCTATCAAGTGGCATCTATCGATAATAAACTTATGCACGAATAGAAAAATCGTTATTTGGTATTTTTTAAAAAGATGTATGCTTGTAAACGTAAGGCATCAAAATATCTAGAGATTTTTTTCTTTCACGTATTTAAGACAACACTGACTTTGTTTTCTGTTCTTTGAATAAGGTAAACTTCTAGATCGATAGAGACTGAGATTTAACATGATAACTGACTTATATCGACCTAGGAAAAGTCAATGATCAGATTTAAACAAGACGGATAATAGTTGTTTGGTAGATCATGTTTTTGTGGTTTAAGACGTTAATCAATCTATTCCTGAAAATGCTATGAATATTTTACTTATTTTACATTTGGACTTCTTTTGATAAACATATCTATACATTAATGTACATATATATTATTGAGACCCTTTAATGTGTGTGATTTCGGATGGATATACCATAATTAATATACATGTACATGTTTCCATTGACACTAAAACTAAAGGTAAAGAATACCTATCTGCATGTCGGGTACGGAACTGTTGAAAATTAATATACATAATATACCATAATTAATATACATGTACATGTTTCCATTGACACTAAAACTAAAGGTAAAGAATACCTATCTGCATGTCGGGTACGGAACTGTTGAAAATTGCGTAATGTTAAGGGGTTCAAACGCCAGTGTTCCGTTCTGAAATGTGGTGGTCTTGGAACCGTTTGGAAAACGGCAGGGTTAAATTTTCATGGTGTAAACGGTATCAATTCTGAAACTGTTATCCGATTCGAGATAGGCATCAATTCACTAAAAATACTAATACATTTTGATTAATTTATTTATTATCCTCACTAACATAAGTTAATTTTCAAAACAGTGAATGGACAAAATTTGTGTTTCATTCGGGTAACATATGAACGGGGGACTGGACTTTAACGGTTCCGAGAAAGGTTATTGCATAGCAATGTAAACGGGGAAAATCTGTTGGTCAAGCGTAAATGTGTCGTCTTTCGTAGCATTATTTTTATGGTGAACTTTTAAAGTATTCTCTGGATTTGTGCACACAAATTACCTAACGACCCTTTAGAAATATCCCTATCATTGATTCCTAACTATTTCAGCTTTATCCATTATCGGAATTTTCTAAAAGTCCAGAAACAAAACCGATTGTCAAAATGCGATTTTTACTTCTTAATAAAGTCAAATGTGAATTTATTTGCAATGAAAAGAGATAAATGGTAATCTTGTTGGTTATTATGGCAGAAAGGCGTTTAATTTGGAATTATTGTTCATTACAAATTGTCTTAAAATAGGAGGGTAGAATAGTGCGGGTTAGCACGCAATAACCATTTGCTTGCACGATACTCTTAATCTGTTTGCCTTTGTCATATTGTTCTAAAATTTTGTATTAGGTTATAGCCCACTAAACTCTTTAATGTGTGATTATGGTGGTGTCATGCAATCCAATTCCATATCTACAGAAACTTTTGAAACCATTCGTATTTTATCAATGAATCCGCCTAATCCTATGTATTAACATATCCCCCTTTGAGCGAGTAGGATCCAGGGAATATTTATTTTTATCATTGGTTCTTTGAGAGTTTGTAAAGAAATGAACTCAACGTATACTCAAATGCGATTATATGTTGTTATTACAGGAAGTGGTCAAATCCAGCTTTGGCAGTTTTTACTGGAACTACTTTCAGACAGCGCCAACTCGGCATACATCACATGGGAAGGCACCAATGGTGAATTTAAGTTAAGCGACCCTGATGAAGTGGCTAGAAGATGGGGTGAAAGGAAAAGCAAACCAAATATGAACTACGACAAACTCAGTCGTGCTCTGCGTTACTACTACGACAAAAATATTATGACCAAAGTTCATGGCAAGCGTTATGCTTATAAATTTGACTTCGCAGGACTTGCTCAAGCCATGCAGCCCCAGACCAGCGATCCTACAGCTTACAAATATCAACAAGACTTTTTCATGTCCTCTCATTACCACAATCCTAAACTGAACTTTATGAACACACATACTCCCATGCCGTCATCTACCTCGGGACTTTTTGCATCGCCTTCAAGTTACTGGTCATCAGCTAGCAGTGCTAATCTCTACCACAACATCCCAAACCACGCCATGTCTCATCACCCTAGTCACATGACCTCTCATCTAGGAGCCTATTATTCATGAGAATCAAGTTAGACTTGTTTCTTCTTCTATTCAGGACTAGAAACCATGTGATTGAAAACTATGAAGGAGAAAAACAGGGATATTCTAGATTTAAGATGTGATATTATTGACGAATGGAGCCCGGATTCTTAAATGTGAATTTAGAGTGAAATGGGCCTTTAATCGAGTAGGTCTTATCTCTAAAACAAATTGAATCATCTAAGGTCGGCAAAATTAATGGAAGGAAATGTTCGTCGACAGGGACAGATTTAAATGGCGGATCAATAACCGATTTTCGTATCTCCGCCTCTATAGAGTTCCATTGCTGATATGTATCTAAGGCAGCGGAAGGAAGGGACAAGAAAAATATTCTACAATTAATTTTGTCTCGCGATGTATTCAGCGAAATCCTTAAAGCTATCTGACGCTTAGTAAATTGGATTTCCTATCAAGTTAGCCGACTTGTGTGTTCAAACATGGCATAGAGACAATTATCGGGTTCGTAAGTGCCTTGATGTAGAGATAGTTGGCGATGTTATGTCGAAGCACTAGTGTCCGTTATAAATAAGAGCCCCAAATGATCTATGTTTGATTTAAGACGGTCGTATCAAGATGACTAATACTTCAGGGCAAAGCGGTGAAATATCGAGTCAATTTAAGGCAATGGAGTATCTGTTACCAGGATAAATCACTCGTTTTCAATGATTAACAGTATCTTGTGACTGTAATAAGTCAATTATTAATCAACCTTATAACATGATACATGCTGTATTAAAGATACATTTCTCAAATTATAAATCATAAAGTCTTTAAAATGGTTTATATATTCTCTGGTATTCTCTCCCCATTTAGTTCTAAAATTTATAAAATTAAAGACAAACTCATGACCTTCAGCTATTACCTAGTAAATACACAAAGTATTTTAAATTTTAGAAAATTCAGAAAAATCAATTAGGAAACAATCAGAAAATAATTATGTTACATATTGTAAATGTATTGCACTATTCCTTATTTTCAATATATTTTCTAAATGTGTTAAACGTCAGCGGCAGAGTATACTTAATTGTAATATATTTAAACTCTTAATATTTAATATGCAAGTTAATATTAAGACTATTTATTGAATATGGCTCAAATATATCTTATTTCAAAATATACTTAAATTATATATCGTCCAAAAATTTGTAATATGTAATCTTTTATTGAATTATTTGATAAAATATATAAATTATGCATTTATTTATTGTATGTTCATATTGAATATAAATTCAATTAATTATAAATGTGGTTTGATGATATTAATTGATTATTCATTATTTAAATATAACAACTAGTCATTAAGAAATGTAAATAATCTATACATATTATTTATATATAATAATATATTAAAATGTGCTATATTGTATATTGAAATAAAATTATTTATAATGGAATAACGAGTTTGGGTTTTTTTTTATTTGATCCGGTTTTACCCTGCTTTTAGTAAATTTTAGGATTTAAAGGGGTCGTACTAGTAGAACGACCTTTTTGGTGTTGCTACCAGATTATTTTGGGGCTTACCTTGAAGGTCCCGTGTACAATCTCGGTGTTGGCCCAGAAAGTTCATTGGGATTTTCCGGCGTGATCCTCTCTTGTCAGTGGTAGAGCAAAGGGCCCGACAAGGGACAACGTATAATCGTTCGAATGGGAAGAAAAACCGAGGTTCCGTGTACACATTGGCGTGGCCTTAAATAAACCTTTGCAATTGGAATTCAAAATAATAGTAAATAGGGCAAAATTTCCACCAAATCACAATGTATTGCGTATGCCCGTCTTCATTGTCACAGTCTGAGCAGAATAGTAGGACGTTAAACCCCATTTCAAATCTCCATTGTTGAATTTATCAACCATTTCAGAAAGAGTTGTCAATCTGGTGTGGGCCGTGTTTGATAATATCTGTTTACTTTGTTTCCGGTCAGATTTGAAATTCAAAGCCACATGATACACCACCTGATGATACTGTATAACCCTTAACCACTAGATGACAAATTCCAATACTGTATTACGAAACATCTCGAATGCAAATAAATGAAGCCATATTCGGATTCGAAAGGGAAAACGTTGTAAAGTGACATTATTTGTAAATGCACCACACGTCTGCAATATCCCCCTTGGTGGATAAATGCACCACACGTCTGCAATATCCCCCATTGGTGGATAGTAACTACTCTACATGTCTTAATGTTGCTGTGATAGGTGCACTTCACTAAGAATACAAGACAACCATGAATGCGAAGACATAATATACTCGAAGACCCAGGCACATTCTGGCGAATTCTACTCCAAGAAATAGATTGCTAAATCGCATGCGTTATGGTGTTCTGACATGGAAGCTTTCATGTTTTTGAAATTGTAAACTAGATGTAGATGATCAATCACAAATCCAAATTGTGTGTTTTAGCACCTATTATCTCAAGTAAGAGATAGCGGGGGGGGGGGGGTAGAGAGGGGATTAACGACCACTCGACACAAAGAAAACCCGCGAGGTTGGACAGACAGGCGACCCTCCTGCTTGTCACGTACAAGCATCGAATCGAAACCACGCCACTTGACCCAATGACAGACCTTACGCGTTAACCATTCGGCCACCCCACTCCAGACCACACACCACAAGACTACACCTCCACCCCCAAGTAAAAGGGAGAAATAGAGGTTAAGATCTATTTCAACACAATCTATGTCATTTCGGGACTAACATATGGTGCAATTTATTTCAACAATTCGGTTGCTCGTAGGGGTCTTTTGGAGTGGGGGAAAACCGAAGGACCCAGAGAAAACCCACGAACAAATGTGAGATCGAAACCACACCACTTTATTAAATGGCAGACCTTATGATCGAAAGCGCGCGATAGGTCCCGGCTAATAATTTGATACTTGTATCCATTCAAAAATTCTGAATGCAAGATAACACATACTACAACAATGCCTAGTATCAATATATCCAGTCAGGAGTTTAGCAAACCATGTAACGAAATAAATCACATTGGATACGTGTCTCCCCCATAGATGAACCCAGGGGTTGGTGGAGTGGAATGGAATGAGACCACCAGGGATACCGCGGGTGGTTGCGGCACTCATTGAAAAAGCCATATAAAATACAACACTGTTTTCAACCTATAAATGGCAGGGATGGACTAGCGGATTTGTCTGAATTTTTGCATACAGTCTAATATGAACACTGATTTGTGTATAGTTAAACTTGTTAAATCGAAAACTATATTTAAACGACCGGAGACAGTAGATCGGTGAGCATGGCGTTCACAAACCAGGGTGTCCTGGGTTCGATCCCAATATTGGTAAAAAAAAATTACCTTTGAATTTTCCGGCCTGGTTTCCTCTTTTCGGGCATGTAGGACAAAATGTTTGGCATTGGAAGGCGCCCAGTCGTATCAAAGGAACGAAAACCGAGGCCCCGTGGATAGTATTGTAAGCACGTGAAAGATCGTCTGACTGTTGGAAAACGAAATACAAGTAGGCCGTACTAGGGCAAAACTTCCTTATAGCACACTGCATGACGTATACCGGTCTCCATAGATCCGGTTTGTGTTGAAAAATAAGACGTTAAACTCATTTCTGTTCATTTTACTTCCGACCGGCTAAGATCTTCAACGCTCTTTTCTACTTTAATAGTAACTCTTCTGGTAGCATTTCGCCTCGAGGTTATCTTTCATCCAGTAGATTCAACGTTACATCTTGCTGTTGCGATGGTGACGTGTATGAAGAAGGGTATGCTTTATACTTGTTCTTTCCAGACCATCCGTTATTACTCCTTATTTACAGAGTTCAACTAGCTAAAAGAAAAGCCAATTTTTAAATTTCGTGTAGTGCAGAATAGAAATAATGAATAAATAGAAAAGCAAGTGGTCCATTTTGTTGTTGTTTGAAATTGTGTGCAATTCCATGTGTGTATTCCGTTTATTTCAAAATTTAGACATTTTAATATGAATGCACTACGGTGTATTCATCCCGCACTCTGATTTTACGCAATATTTTGTTTGGGTTTGTGTATTCTTAGCAGAGGGAAAGGACATTTTGATTTAATTTTGTGAATTGTGTAACAATTACGTAACAAATGTTATTATTAGTATTATTGTGTAACGATAAATACATAATCAAATTTGAGTTTAAGCTACAGACTGCACCTTAGAGTTCCATTAACGTATCTGTTTTTTTGCTTAATGGTGTTGATTAATTGCAATTTCAAATTTCAAGTCACAAAAGTTAAATCTTCGCCTCAGTCAATAATGTGTCGAGCACAATAATTTATTTATGCAAATGTAGTCATAATAGTGACAACAGCCGTATAATTTATCGAAATTCGTGAGTAGTAATTAAAGCCTGATGCTTCAAACAAAATAACAAAAATCGCTTAATTTCAATACAGAAAACAGAAGGAAGTGACTTTTGTATTCATAACAACATTGAGCGAAATGAGCATAAAGTCTCATTGACAATGGCTACCGAATTAGCATACTTATTCTTAGTGCCACAATACGGCGATTGACAATCGCTGTAATAAATTGACATGGTAGTCTTATGATTAACAATAAACTAGCGGCAACTACAATCGTGTGAAATTCAAAATTTTCTCCTATTTGTAGGACTTCTGTTGTAACAGAGAGCAATAACATGACAATTAGCAGAACTTAAGCCTCTCTCGTAAGGTTTCTCCATTTTCTAACAAAGACAGTTTCAATATGTTAAAAGCGGTAACGGTTACAGAAGTCATAGTTAATAAAATGAGTGAAATAAGGCGATTATTAATTAAGGGGTGGGAATAATTAGCTATTCCCCATGGGGTCTAGAGGGAACTGTCAGTAAATATTGTATTGCTGCGGCCAAAGCGACAGTGTACTCTTTTTGTGTCTAGCTGCGTAATTAACGTCGTTTCCTTGCGCGACGCTGATCGTAACGGTGCTAATCTTTGATTCTAGCCATTTGAAAGTGGTTATTTCAGCTCATGTGAAGATGTCCAACAGTTAAATAGAACTGTGGAACTTGCTTCCTAGGATGCCTGGAATAAAAACTGTGATTGATCTGTTTAATTATAAAAAGATAATTATTTATGTCCTGGAAAATATTTTACAAAAAAATAATCATCTTTAACTACACTACAAGACCATAACATGAATCTGCAGAATGACTATTTGACATGCCATACAGACAAACGGATCGCCAAAAATGTATCTACTTTTCTAATCTTTAATCGGTCATTTGTTTTTTTAAATTTCTATCATTGTTATCTGAAAGATGTATTTATTCAACCCACTGAAATCCAGCAAAATACACAAAAGATTCGATGGCGATAATATATGACAGATTAAAAATCTTTTAAAATTCGGGTCTCGAAAGAAATATTCTTTGAAGTAATTTCTGGAACACTTGCAGCAGAAAAAAGAGCAGCGATTCTGTATTAAATTTATGCAACGATTTCATGATTCTGTAATTTGAAAATAGGATCCGTTAGTTTAAAAGATTTATAGATTGAAGTTCTTGATAAGAAACACGTTCCTGTTTAACTAATCTTAGATATAAAATTCTGAACTCGTGTTCTGATTGCCCTTTGAACACGAGGAAGAGTTTATGGGAACACGGCGCCATTCTGAAAAGATTGTGTTTCCTAAATTCATTATCAGACACGAGGCCGTTAGCTTGTTAGGCGACAAAATATTGTGTCCCTCTTCAAAAAAAAATCCAAACCTGAAATAGCATTTTGTGTTCCCATACGCGTGCGCTGCTTTTTACAAAGGTACTTCTTTATTCGGTGCAACCGTTTGGTCATGTGTCGGTTAGATGAAATCACATTCTACTTATGCGTATAGTAACAATCCCAGGGTTCCCTTGACAGAGCATAAAATAATATAAATGGGGTTAATTGAAAAATATCAATAAATAGTTTCTTTTCATTGTGAAAACAGATCATAGATAGCCATTCTTCCTCAAAAATTTGAATTGAAATTAGACACAAACTCAATAATATATGCGTGTTTAATATTTCTAAAACATTGAACGAAATGATAAACCTGAAAAGAGTGGAAAACAAGTAAAAGTCCTGTATTGAGTGAAACCATAATAGAATTTAATTTCAATTTAAACTTTTTCCGGTTGTTTTCTTGACACGATCACTATTTAAAGAATGCGCTATGTGTTT